ATAATCTGTATAAATGAAAAAAAATCTCAGGCACTCACTGAGATATCTTCATGGCAGTTTAATTGGATGTGCAACGTTTTGACCTGTAACTAGGTCTTTATCAACCTAAAGACCTGGTTACAGTATTCCTAAAGATATTGTGTTTCTTTAACTCGCTATATTTCCTCTCTCGCATGTTTTCTCATTATTATTATTTTATTATTTATATAGCGCCAGCAAATTCCGTAGCGCTGTACAATGTACTTACATTGAAATTACTCTGTCGGGTTTATAGAATATACTCTGTGTGTAAATGCGGCCACTTCCTTGTCTGTTGTTCAGAATGCATACTTGCAGTAACAAGGCACATTGAGGTGTAAGTATTATTTATTGATTTATTTTTGCAGTTTTTTTTTAAGCTTGTTCCTAAATTGCAGTAACAAATGAGGTGTGGTCAGCTGTATCCTTTAATGTTCTCTGTAGTTTACAGGAAGATGAGGCCAAATAAATTAGAAACAAATGATCTTTGGAAGTGTGAATCTGTTGCATTGTCGCATTCACAGTAGTTGGGCCAGTTATTCTTAGGACACCAGTTTGTTGCACACATAATACGCACAGAAATGGCATTGCTCAGCTGTCGCTAAAAGCATGTCTTGCTTACAGGGAATACATTAGGCAACAATGACAAAACATTAACAACATATGCAAATGACAGAACTGTGACAGTATCATCCTAGCAATGGTCTGCCGTGAAACCTCTAATAAGACTTAATAACGTTTTCATTTAAAAAAAAAAAAAAAAATTTGTATTTTGTCATGCTGCTCGGACAATAATTTGACCTTTTTTTCTTCAAATCCAATGAGTTCTCTGCGTTTTTAGATGTATCAGGCACAATGGATAAACGGGTTTAATACAACCACACACACACGAGAATATCAAATCTAACGAGTAAATCAAATAGTACATTAAAGTTTTTAACTGTTTGGTTGTTATTGGTTATGATATGAATTACAACTTAGTAGCAGCATGACTTGACGGTGACACAGGCTAGAGATATCAATAAATCCATTTTTATTTTATGATGAATTCATGAAACGTTTGATGTACCCAATTCCAAACCGAGATTAATTTGAAATATGACACGTTATTGGCCCTACAGTCACATGTTTACCTTTGTATTGGATAGTGCTCTTTTTGCAGTCATGGGTTAACCCCTTAAGGACCAAACTTCTGGAATAAAAGGGAATCATGACATGTCACACATGGCATGTGTCCTTAAGGGGTTAAAAGCGATAAACCAAATCATGTCACATTATTATTATAAGAAGTGATTTCTTTTTTTTCTTCTTCTGTGCTTTTACAGTAGCTCATTCGCAAAACAAAAGAATTGTAGGGAACTGAAACCGATTTGCATAATAATAATGGTCTCAAATTGCTGAGTTAGCACAGCTGAGCTATAGTCACCGCTGTGATATTTTTACCTAAACTTTGCAATTCAGTTTTCAATTCACCGCCATTTGCTGTATCGTCAATAAATCCCAGTAATATTTAAATTAAGTCGAGGGACAGTGTTGAGCTTTTTCTTTTCGCTGGCAGACTCTGTAGGAGATGCCATGACAGGCTCTTTCAGCAGCCGTCTGGTTGATCCCCATGGACAATTGCCCATTTTAGCTCCAGGCTTGTTATTTTTTTTGACTTGCAGTTCATTCTCAGTCTGTCTGCCATCAGAATAAGGTTCCCTCCCCACCCCCTTTTGCACTGTAAATATGAGTAAATCTGCTAAGGTCAGCATTCCATATGGGAAGATTATTTTCTGCTGGACAGCCTTACCACAAAATCCTCACATTAAGAATGATTCTTTAATACGCTGTGACCCGGAGATAAATCATCTGCTATTCAGTATAATAAAAAAAATGAAAAAGTAAATAAACAACAAATAAATAAATGCATATTTTCAATAGCTTATGTCAAACACAAAAATTATGTCTTGTCCCAAGAATGCTATTATTATATGCACTTAATTTAGATCTAAAAAACATACATAATATTCTTTATATACAAAGTTTTTCATAAAGTACTTAACAATATGTGATATGCAATGAAACACATGTATACATTTAAATACATTAATGCCAAATCTTAACATTTACAAGTTTATTAATAAAATATATTTTTTTTATTAATTTAATATAGAAATAATTTTAAATTGTATAAATTGAATGAATATAGAGATACTTTTTGCAACAAAAGTAATTCTAAAATATTACATTGCATTAACTGATATAGAAATTCAGTATGTTATTATAAAAACATTTTTTTAAATTAATTATTTTATGCATTACCTTATCCATATTATTAAACAGTATATATATACATTCATTTTATAATAAAAGAAAAATAAATAGAATAATTTTAATATTTATATGTATATGTATCATTTTTTTATTATAAAATGAACAAATGTATTTAAATCGATAAAACAATTATTTTAAGCATAAGCAATTGTGAGTTTTTCTGCTCTCTGCAAATTCAGCAAGTTAATATTTCAACAACTTTTTACTTGCATAATAGAGAGATAATTTAAATGATTTGCATCAACGTGCTGCAATAGATATCACAAGGTTGCAGTATGTAGAAAAAAAAAATTGCACATTGCTAAACTTTTTAATCCCAACGAAGCCTTTAACAACCTTAGATAAGTTTGTACATGGATAAATTGCTTAGTTATCTGTAAAGTACAATTGTGAATGGCCATAATCCGTCAATCTATGAAACTTTTACCAGAATACATGTAAAAACAGCAGAATGGTGAGTTATTGTTCTCTATCTAATCTTTTGTCAATTTGACCAGAGGGGCAGTACAAACCAGATCCAACAGGGAACAGCCAGTCCTACAACCCTAATAGTCAAGTAAACAACCCCAACGTGTCACTCACATCTAATTATATGTACGAGGCACAATGCTACATCTGTATTTAATCTATGCTCCTAGACGTAAACAGGCACACCTACAAAATATTCTTTAAATATTGTTTACTATGGTACTACAATCCTGTAATTATTTGTTATTTACTTGCCAATAACTTAATCGCTATACTTGCTATTATTATTATTTATAAAATCGTAGCATTTTCTGCAGTATTGTACAAAGTTAGGATTTGTGATATGTATAATTTAGAAATATATATAAAATGCAAACCGAGTAGAATCCGTTCTTTTTAGATAATTGTTATTTGCATCAGTGTTTTAAAGAGATGTCCATGCAAAAAGTTTTTTTTTTATTTAAAAGCGTGTTTATGGACACAATCACTGCTTTGATACATTCATATACAAATCAAATCATGGTTAATATATTTATTAAGCTTACAGATGAGAAATCCTGGAACCTTGAAACCTTGTCAATATATGTAAATACTTTATTTATTTATTTTACTACTTTTAGAGGTGAAATTAGCTTTAAAAAGGTTCCATGCAAATTGTGTCCAAACACCAAAGATTATCAGGGTTATTCAGTAAAGTGAGAATTCTCAATGAATTTCAGGTTTAAGGTCATGACCGCTACACTGGAAAGAAAAAATTTCTAGGTCAACTATGCTTCCATTTCGGCTACTTGTGCCTTAAATTTGAAATTCTCTTGGACTTCTCACTTTAGTGAATAGCCTTGTTAGTGTACAAGATAAGCTTTGAGATTTGACCATTCTTTATCTAGCAAATACTATATTTAATTGTTTTATGGCTTCATGTTTGCTAAAAAGCCTTTTTTTTTCATTTAAAATTCAAAAATGTCTATAAATATATCATATTTATCATTTAGATATAGGACCACTACAGGCACCCAGACCACTTCAGCTCAATGAAGTGGTCTGGGTGCAAGGCCCCCCTAGTTTTAATCCTGCAGCTGAAAACATAGCAGTTTCTGAGAAACTGCTATGTTTACATTGAGGGTTAATCCAGCCTCTAGTGGCTGTCTCCCTGACAGCCACTAGAGGCCACTTCTGCGATTCTCAGTGTGAAAATCGCATTGAACTCACGTTGGATGTCAATAGAAAAGCATTAAGTAATGCTAAAAATGCTCATGCATTTGGCCGCGCATGTGCATTCGGCTCCACTCGGGAGCTGACGTCGACAGGGGGAGGAGAGGTCACCAGCGCCGAGGGAGCCCGGCACTGGATTAAGGTAAGTGGCTGAAGAGGTTTTAACACCTTCAGCCCAGCGGGAGGGGGGGGAACCTAATAACCCTTTTTTTTTTTTTTTCTGGCACTATGGTGTCCCTTTAAAGTAAAAGTATAGTGTCAGGAGCACAAAAATATGTTCCTGACACTATAGTGATAAAATAACACTTTAGGTCGGTCCCCCTCTCTTTACTTACCTTACTTACCTCTTTACTCCATACTGCGCCATTCAGCATTTCCTCATAGAGATGTAATGAGCCAATGCATCTTTATGGGGAACGTTCAGTGTCTCAATGCAGAGCGTCTCCATGCAGTACTGACCCAGGATGCACCTCCAGTGGCTGTCTGACTGACTGCCATGAAAAGGTAGTGTTTACATTAAAAACACCAGTGTTTTCTCTGAAAAGGTAGTGTTTACATTAAAAAGCCTGCAGGGACAGGCTATAGACACCATAACAACTACATTAAGCTGTAGTTTTTCTGGTGACTGTAATGTCCCTTTAACTGTCAGTTAAGCATATAATGACAGTAAAAATATATTATTCAAATAATAGAAATTGCTTTAGCTGCTCTGTTCACATCACACTTTATCAACTCTATGACAATCTTCAATTCTTCATGTGTTTATATACTTATAAAAGTATGAACATATATATGTGGTAAGAAGAAAAGAATGACCTAGATAATTTGTGTGTGTATTACAATTCACAGTCAGCACAGATTATTTTCCTGTATTCCAGATCGACAAAAATTACAACAAAAGTAAAAAACCAAAGTCATCATTATTTTATTAATTATACTCCTTTTCTGGTTTCCTTATTGTTTTTGCATTACCTCCTTCCCCTGCAGACACCTCTTGCTTTCACTGAGAACAATGGTGAGAAATATTCCAAAGTACAAAGAAGCCAAAATCGAAGGAAACAGCCGTGGTCTGGAAACGTGGCCTGGAAAAGAGCATACACCTTAAAAATGCTATTTACGTGCAATCCGCACGATTTAGCAGCATATTTCAGAACATGTACTTTCCTATTGCGTAAGAAAAACTGGAACAGGCAACTTCGTTTGGAGGCTTTTTAAAAAATTAATTTAATCACTTTCCTTTTTTGTCGCAGCACTAAAATGTGAATCATCGGAAATCCAAAGTGAATCCACACATAGTAACTAACTAAAATGGGAATTGTAGCGAATTCAAAGTCAGATACGTTTTCCGTTTGACAGCTTTGGCCTAACATTTGAAATCGACTTTGAAGGGATACTTTAGTATTAGGAATACAAAATTGTATTCCTAGCAGTATAGCTCCCTTGCCCCCCCTCCAAATGAAAAACCCTTTATTTATTTACCCGATCCCATGTCCCTCGCTTTGAGTCAGCGCTCTGATGTCATCCAGTGGGGGAACCTAATACACAGGTTTTGTGAGCACATTAAGCCCTCCCCATAGGAAAGCTTTGAATAATTGCATTCCTGTGGGGATTTAACAGATGCTGGATGTCCTCATGCAGAGCGTGACGACGCCTGGCAAGCAAAAAGCGCCTCTAGTGGCCGTCTGGTAGATAGCTACTAGAGGCTGTCTTAGTGCTGCAATGTAAACATCGCAGTTTCTCTAAAACGAACATGTTTTACATTGTAGGAGTAAAAGCAATAGGGACACTGCACACAGACCATTTCAATAAGCTGTAAATGGTCTGGGCGCCTATAGTGTCTCTTTAAGTTAACTTTAAAGTGAACCTCTCATGCAAATTTTCATTTACCTGAAATCGCTCCTATATACATTGAATACACGATATGTCACAAAGACAATGTAAAATATAGATATTTGCTCACTTTTCCCCCGTTCCAGCATCGCCATCTTCAAGCTTCGCGGGTGTTACTCTTCATTTAACACCAACCTCCGGGTTGTCTGCCGCTCCGTCTGCATTCTACCTTGAGTCGTCCTGCTTGGGATGCATTCCCAAGCAGTGCAAATCTCTTCAGTGGCGTTGGCATGCTGGTGTTCTTGCTAGCTAGGGAGTTGCCATAGTAACCACAGCGCATGCGTAGAGAGCAGAATTACATCCTCTGGGTGGAGAGCAGAGAGACATCCTGTGGGAGATCTTTTTCGCTTGACAGTCAGTGCCTCAACATTGACTGACAGCTGGTAGAAAAACTTATTTTTAAATAGTTTATTTTCCTAATTATTATTATTTTATTATTTATATAGCTCCATCAGATTCCATAGCGCTGCACAATGGGTGGATTAACAGACATGTAATCGTAACCAGACACCTGAACGTACAGGAACAGAGAGGTGGAGGGCCCTGCTCAATGAGATTACATTCTATACATTTATACGTTAGAATAGCCACGTATGTAGCTACGTATGTAGATTGCAAAGACTAAAAAAAAAATGCTTTTTTTTTTTTAATGGATTATGTCAATGGCATCACAGTCTACATAAATAAATATGGAACTATTTGGAAAAGGAATACAATGGGATAAATGTGCAAAGATTTCACAGGCTGGTTTTTGGCTTGATCTTATGAAATAGTTACCATGATCATCAGTTAATTACAATAGCATGGTTGTATTCTGCACTAGAACATCACTTTATATGTTGTGCTATGTGAGTGATGTGTAGCTGTGACATGTGAATATCATGCATTTACTTATTTATTACTGGCATTTATAAAGTGCCAACATATTCTGCAGCGCTGTGCAATTGGGAAAAAGACAAACACAATAAGAACAGACACAGGTAGAGGGCCCTAACTGTGAGTTTACAATCTAAAGGTTAAAATGGGATTGGAATCTTCCTATGTTCCCCAGTGATGTATTTTATTTTAACAAATTGCTTGGTGCTCTTGGGATGCAGTAAAGAGAGACATATTTTGAGATTCTATTTAAACTAGAGTGAATTATGTCAAAGCCAGGTTTATATGCAAACAGTGACAGGCATTGAGCACTTATTATTAGCATTATAATTATTGTCATTTATATAGCTCCAACATATTACACAGCACTTTACAATATTTATATATAATCGCAAATAAAACAAACTATTACAAACGTTAAGAAACTATTGGTTATTGAGGACCATGCTTATATGAGTGTCTTCCTAATCTAACTTTGCTATGCGGACAGATACATGTGGATGTATATGTGCGCATCATTGGAAACTTACACATTATCCAAGGGCAGCAATGGGATCTGGCTTTGTGCAAGAGGAGAGCTGTTTTTGTCAAACAGTAAATATTAACCTGAGCTGCAGAGAGGTTATGGAGTGTACAGCGGGCGTTTAAGAAACAGTGTGAACTGTAAGGAGACAACCTGGGTTGGAAGGAAGAAAGTGAAGCTAAGTAAGAAGAGCATATTCTAAAAGATAAGGGGATCATGATTTGAGAAAAATCATAATATGGGGGCTGAGAGCCACAATATATGCACCCCATGTTCTACAACATCGCTGTTTATGAACAGCCCTCCAACGGTTGTTGGACTATATTTCCATTACTTACCTCCCTTGTAAATAACACTCCAGACACCATAATCACTACATTTCTGGCACCCTTTGAAAGTAAGTAGCAAAACTGTTTAAGAACAGTTTGGTAGCTTATCTGGGTCCCCTTCGGTGCTTGCAATCCAGCCCTGCTTTTGGACTTTGCTGCAAGGAGAACTTTGCTCCCACTTAGCTCCACTGAGCGGTGCAGTGCAGGGCCACCCTCATTGGCTGAGAATGTCCACTGAAAGCTGACATTCTGAATAGAGCAACCCCTTATTGGTCCATCCTTAGCTCAGGGAAACATCTCGCTTCTTCTGCAGGAACGGGAGCCCGGGAGACCCAGGTAAATTGTCACGTCATAAATGGTGTGAAAAATTATTCTGGGAGGTCGATAAGGCACGTCTGGAACCAAGCACCAAGGCTGTAGTGGTTATGGTGCTTATTGTTCCTTTATGAGAACTACTGTACAGCAAGCACTTGAGGATCTCAGTATACACATGCATGCTGACCTAGAATATGTTATCTGTGCCCTTGATAGCTTAGCATAGGTTGGTATAATGACTTCAACTAACTAACATCATGGGTTATGTCTATTGTCTAGAAATAGAGCAGGTGGCAATCCATTATTATTATTATTATTGGCATTTATATAGCGCCAACTAATTCTGCAGCGCTTTACAATATTATGAAAGGGGGGGACATTTACAATAAGTGAGACAATTACACATGAACTATTGTAATTTGAAAACCATTTAGCTACGTGATTATCCACTGATTTAATTCACATCTAGGCAAGTGACAGGCTGAAAAGGGTCTCGCTGACAACTGTCTCAGGCTAAATCATTTTGAAACAAGACTGTTGCATTTAACTCATGGTGCCCCCAGAAAGTTTCAGAATCCAAAGATTTCACCTTCACCAGGCTCTCTGATAAAGGTTTCATAATTTACAAGGTCTTCTACCTCTTTGTTTTGTAAAACGTATACTCCCCCTTGTTCTAATCTGTAGCTGAGCCCTATAATTTACATTTTCTGCTATCTTCTCGCACTGAAGGTTATCTTTTTTTATTTATTTTTTTCTAAAACTCTAAGTGTATCCTGCAGTGATTTATATTTTTACTATTTTAATTTTTTTGAGAACATAGCAAATGATAAAAAGTATTTCTGCTTCCTAAATACAGCTAATAGGAACAAGTATAAAAATAAATTAGATAAAGGGAACTTCATATACATGGTGTATGTTTCATTTTTCCCCTAGGTCAGTACTAGTACATAAATGTCCTTTCTACCATATAATAATCATGGGAAATTGATTAAGATGTGAATTTATTTCTCCTGTTTTGCATTCACAATCCGAAAATTAGAATGTGTATAATGTTAGGAACAGTTAAAGGATCGCTATAGTGTCAGAAAAACAAAGCGGTTTTCCTGACACTATAGTGCCCTGAGGGTGCCCCCACACTCAGGGTCCCCATCCCGTGGCGCTGATGGGGTTAAAACCCCTTCAACAGCTTACCTTAATCCAGCGCCGGGCTCCCTCGGCGCTGGTGACCTCTCCTCCCCGGCCGACGTCACAGGATCCGAATGCGCATGCGCGGTAGTGCCGCGCACTCATTCAAAGTGTCCATAGGAAAGCCTTTCTCAATGATTTCCTATGGACACTCTGCGCAATGGAGGCATAATATACCTCCAGCGTCGCAGGTGCGCCTCTAGTGGCTCTCCGGAAGACATTTGGCTGGCTGGCTTAACCCCAAATGTAAACATAGCAGTTTCTCTGAAACTGCTATGTTTGCATCTGAAGGGTTAAAACCTGAGGGACCTGGCACCCAGACCACTTCATTGAGCTGAAGTGGTCTGGGTGACTAGTGTCCCTTTAACAAAGCAAACACTAAATGCAATAACACATATTTATTATATGATTTGCACGGAATATGTATGAAATGGACTTTAAAAAGATTAGTGATTATAAAAGATTTGCAGTGGATATCTAGCTAATTTAGTATACATACATGTTAAACCATGTTTGTTCCTTTATCACTGTAAAGTCGATATCATGTGCTGCACTCACAAAAATATATACTTAGCATTTTGTACTATGGAAAAATCCCCCTAGTGACATGTGCTGACATCACAATGAACAGTTGCTCACATGAACTCAGAGGCTACGTGTGTGCATGGTTATTTTGGTCCGTGGGGAAGAGGCTCCAGAGTTATATGTTGTATGCTTACATTGCCAGATGTATAACACCTGTATCTACTTTGAAAGAAACCAACGAAGAGAAAAACTGAGGAATTGTGGTCTTAATAGTAGTTCTGTCACTTTGCAGGTTTTGTAATGGCAAGGGGGTATAATCACTAAGATACTAGGAGTATAAGGATAACTAAAGTAGAGCCACTTTGTGTGTAATGTGAATGGGATATATCCGTGTATGCGATTTTGAGTGAACACCCTATCAAAGGAGCTCTGTGTGCGAAGCATATTTCACCTGTATTTTTTGTAACGGAAATATATGTTACACAAACATCAGTGTCACACATACACACATCATGTTGTTTATGATGGGAGTTGTCTGTTTGTAGGGTACAGTCTGTCATTGGCCTAGTCTATATGTGCTGGTCACTCTTGTGATAACTGCAAGTAGATGATTTTGCTGTGGTCCTACACTATTTATCCCCTGTGGCAACTGGAGCTTTAATGCATAAGTGGGCTGTAGAGACCTGTATATAGAAGAAAGAGAAAACTAACCAAGGCTAGCTAGAGAGACGAAGACATGACCTGGAAAGAATGTACGATGTGACCTGTTTGTGCGTAATGGGAACTGTCCGTGCTGTCCCACTGGAAAACATATGTTAACCTACCATTTAACGACAGGAAAATATGCTAGGAATAAATATTAGATTAGTCAGACTAGGCAATGGCAAGTGAAGTGCCTGAGAACATGTAGTCCTTGTCACATTATGGCATATGACTTACAACTGTTTACCTCTTAAAGACTCCATTCATGACCCCTTAAGGTTTACAACCTGTTCTTTACTAGACCAGGCTGGCATACAGTGATGTACACATGACTGCAAACTAGACACACTGATCAGCCATAACATTAAAACCACTGACAGGTGAAGTGAACCACATTGATTATATCATTACAATGGTACATGTCAAAGTGTGAGATATATGTTTCGGAAGCAGGAAAAATGGGCAAGGGAAAACATAGGAGTGACTTTGACAAGGGCAAACAATGATTTCCCAGTTGTACAGCGCTACGGCATATGCTGGCGCTTTAGAAAT